GTGGTTTTTTACGTTTTTTACCTGCCGGACATGAAATTGAAAAAAATCCGGAAAATTCGCCACGTAGGAAAGGCACCCGCTGGCGTGGCCTAGGTTTCTCACTGAAAATCCTCGTCCCCCGGCGGCACCTTTTTTTGAATTTTCTTCCTTTTCAACGGCGTTTTTTGGGAATTTCGGATTTTTTTGAATTTTTTCGCAATAATATTCGGAAAATAGATAACTTTTAACACATTTTAATGCAATAAAAATTTTTGGTCGGAGTCCCCCTTTAAAATCAACCCATAAAATTTAGAATTGAGACCCCTGATAGGATTTGAAACATTCGGATTACTGTAGATTTGAGGGAAAATTATTATTTTTGTTCAAAATTTGCTGCATTTTTATTTGGCGTGCTATTATTGGCGTGGCATTTTTGGCTTGGATCGACGTGGAATGAACTAGAAGAGGGAAATTTGAGGGGAAAAGTGATGCCTAGAGTCTCAAATCCATCCATATATCGGTTCACGAACAAATTAATTTCTTTTGAACTTTTTGAATTTTGCTCTTTTCTCGATGCACGAGAAAAGCGCCAGCAATCGCCGTTCCGCGTTTTTCACAAATTGTTTGGCGTGGATTGCAGTTTCTACAGTAAGTCATGGGTTACAGTAGCTAATCTACAGTAGTCCTTTTTCAGGGCAGAAGTGATCTTTCGATGAGACGACGAATTCTTTATAAATGGAGACATTGATTTTTGAAAAAAAAAGAAAATCTTTGAAAAATATAATATTTTATTATTTGGAAAATATGATGATATTTATCAATAAATCGAATTTTTTAGATGATGACGTCATTGGAAAATCGATAGAAGACCTTCTAAAATCCGAATGTATCTGATCAGCAATTTTTTGTTGGAAGTCTGAAATAATTTTTTTTTTAAATTCAAATGAAACATTTCAATCTAAACATACCGCTTCTCAAATCGACTGTAATTTTCAAGACCTCATGATACAAAAAAAGAGGGAGAAAATTGATATAAAAACTGAAGTTTACTGGAGAATCTCGAGCTTATATAGCCATGAGCACGTGGAATTTTTTATTCGTCTTGTTGGAAAGTTGAGTAGATTTTCACGCATTTTTTGAAGGGAAAAGTGAAAAAAATGGGGCGAAAAAATAGGAAAGTTTTGGGAAATTGTTTTGACCCAAAAAGCTTAAATTTGAGGCACATAATTCGGAAGGTACAACAATTCGGGGGTACAAAGGGGTACAAAACAATTTAGGGGTACAAAACCCACAACTCAGGGGAGTCTTTTTACCGGAATTTTGTATCCCCCCGAATTGAGGATTTTGTACCCCTAAATGGCTTTGTAGAGTTCTTATTTTTGAATTTCCAATTTTTAAAAAATTTTCAATTTTATACTTTTTTTTCTGACTATCACATTTTCAGTTTCAAAAAGGGGTACAAAGCCATTTAGGGGTACAAAA